TTAAAGTGATAAATCTGATAGATAAATCTATATCAGCAAAAAATATACAACTCTTATAAAAGATTTTTTTTTAAATTTTTTTCCAAAAGATGTACGATGAAAATATTTATTAAAGACTAGTAGAATGACTAATATTGTACTGTATTTGTGCATTTTGTCAGATGACAGCTCTGATTTTCTTCTAGAAAATGACATATTTTGATCAATTAATCATATATAACTTTATCATAAATATCATCAATTTACTGAGAGGGGTCGAAACTTTTCGATTATCCTTCAAAATGCAATAGATTCATAAGATTAATATTGATTAAAAAACGGCAGCAATTCAAAGAAAGTTTCACATCGTTTCTCTAATCAACAAGAACTTATTTCATGTGATAAACATAGAAATTAAGACTAATTATTGAGTTCTACAGCTTGAAATGTACAGGACAAAATATTTTTGGTGTTGGACCCGCTGTAGAGAAAACTATCTCAAGATAGATTAATATACAATAAAAAAAATGCTTAGATTTTCCTTGTTTAGTTTATTCAATCAACGAATATCACATTTATTTTGTTTTGTATAATTTTGTATATAAAATAATTTGTTTAGAAAAAATAAAACATTCAAATAATACGAGTTTCATCTCTTGTGGTGTAAGTTCAAACTATGACGAAAGTTGATCATTGATTGCAGTATTTTTAAATATTTTTCTTTGTCCGATATTCATTTATGTCAAAATATTGAGAATACTATTTCTATTTGAACATTATATCCATTGATTTTGATAACAATTGAGCAAGTATTCGTTGAATAATATAATCTCTTTTTTTTTATATGAATGAAGATAGAAAATTTTAATCTGAATAATTTGCAATTAATATAATAATGTTTTGTTGTTCTTTTGTTTTCATCCAAGAGATAGCTAAAACAAAAATATCGTACACCTTATTTGGTTTAGTACAACAGATTTGATTTGCTTTTATTCTACTCTTTTATTGATCAATCGATCATAGTGAAAAAAATAAATTCCATACCAATAAAACGAAATATTTACTTGAATATAGATTTGTTTAGATCAATATATAACAAATAACAGTTGATAAAAATATTCACGTTTTATAATGGATGACATAATAATGTATCGCAAAAAAGAAATAAGAATTTTTTGAAATCATGAAGAGTTTTCTCAATTTTTCTGACTTTTTATCATCAGAGTCATACGTCATTCAAGCATAATTTCTTTTTTAATTTGTCTATTAAAGCTTGCACTAGTGTTAACTAATTACAGTGAAACTCTATAGAAAGTCTTTGGAATTATTTTCTCTTTAGACATTTACATTGTTTATTAATAGACACCTATGTCATTGTTAAGTAATGAAAAATACAAGAGAAACTTCTTTTTCAAAGTCCTAGAAGGATTCTGTCTTTTTTAATTCATTTAATTATATTAATAGTTCCGTTTCTCTCGTTATCTTCTTAACTTAATACTCTAAATCTGAGAAAGAATATATCTGTTCCTTCGCGAACTCTATATGCCTGAGTCCAAAAAGGGTATCACTCAAATTACTGTCATATATCATCAAAATAAAAAAAGAACTCTGGCTAACTTACAGAACGCAACAAGTGTCATAATCAGGAAAATGCCTATATCAACAATACTACTTTTAACTAATGTATTACTGTCATATATGACCTTATTCTAAGATCTGGCGGAAAGAGAAAACATTTTACTCTTTCGCACTAATTATCTCATTTGGTTTTTGAGAGTTTATATTTATCTATGATCTTAATTGTGCAAGTAATAAAAATATCAGCTCTTCGAAACAAATCAAATACCTTTATCACAAGTAGTTTTTTCTATGCATATTTTCATGCACTTTTCTATTCGTATTGATTAGTGAACATTTCTCACTGGTTTTCATTGTCCAACTAAGGTTTTCCGAACGAGTAAATAATGAAATGTCTGAAACATTTATCGAAGTTCAAATATCTATTGTAAAATCATTTATGCTATAGTGCCTGTATGAATACGAAACTGATAGCTGATTGTTAACATTTGACAGACAGCTTGAGGCTTGTAAACGTCAATGGGTCCAACAGGTCGACTTTGGCTAAGTTCATTTGCTTAAAATAGACATATGTCTTTTCAATACACATTTTTTTCTTTGAGCAATATTACCATAATTATTAAATAGCTATAAGATATATTTTTTCTACACAGCAGAGAAATTACCTTAATCAATATAAACTAAAAAGATGAGATACCTTTTGATTAAATACATGATATAGTCCTAGTTGAAGCACATTGTCTCGAACATTTCTATAAAAGTAAAACGAGAAACTAATAAGCAGATTGATCAATCTCTCTAGTATTAGTTCAACTTGGTGACAGTGGCCGAAGGCTGATTATGGAAATATAAGGAACCGATGTGATGTTTTCGTGCGTAAAATTTACAGTGTGAAATTATAATGCTTAAGAAGAAATAACCAGCGTCTAGTCAAATAGGATAGCTTATAAAATGCGTGTGCATACATGAATCGTTATAGCGTGGTGTATGTTGGAACACGTCACAGAGTAAACTATATTCGCTTTTACACCCATGACAATTTACGCATATACATGTTTAATATTGTCGCTATATACGAGAACATATGAATGCTTTTGTAAAGAACCTACACGTTTGCGTGCAAGACAATTTTTAGAATGTCCAAAAAACAAAGCACATGCAGTAAACATCCATAAAGATGTAGGAGTTTTTATTTCAGAGATAAGATTCAAACATACATACTGTGCTTTATAAGAAGAACTTCTTTCTCATGCAATCATGTACTTAAATTAGAAGTGCAATCAAAGCTGAATGATATAATGATCATTTGATAATTACTACGCACGACTTCATCTAAGTAATAATAACTATAGGTGAATTCGAAAAATTGACCAAAGTTTTTGAACCAATATAGTATGGACATATGAGAGTGATTTTATTTTAATGAAAAATAAATAAATACATGCTAAAGAAGAAAAACAAAATTCTTCCATGAAATAGCATGCACAATACAAAATGACAGAAATTTACATGTCGACGCAGAATCGCTTTGGTTATAGTTTTCGTACATACGATCTTTTTCGTCTATGGACATGCAAAATTTAGCAAAATTCTAATCATCTTGTAGATACAAATCAATAAAACTTTGACATTTATTTGCAAGTCGTATATCTTGTATAGACACGCAAAAAATGTTGCATGTAAGTATTTGCAAAGATGAAAGTCGTGCAAGGTCTCGCATAGCTGGTTTAAATTTTTTTTAAATTGTGTTTTTATGTATGTGATATTGTCTTGTATTTATGTGCAACAATTACAGATATTTGAAATAAATTGAATTTTCATACATGAGATGTGGCAACTTGAAAAATATTTTGTAAATAAACTCGAGTTCCTGGAAAATTTCTTTAAATATACGCACTTTTTTTAACTTCGGTAAAAGGTATTCGAAATTCGATTTAATCAACAATTAATTTTCTGTTAATGTTTCATTTTTTTTTCTTGTTTCCTTTTATATCTGCTACTCTCATTAGAAATATAATTCTAAGTAAAAACAAACCTACATATTAATTAAAATATAGTTTTTATTGAGAAGAAATTTTATTAACTTTAGTTCTGTTAGAATTGATAAACGACTTGGAACTCTATCGTTTTAACAAAATGAATTGTGCCAGAAGCAATACGGGCCGAATTCAGCACTAAGGTGACAGTGCTTCTTTTTAATAATAATACGCTCGTTCTCTCTTCTAACTTCTCATTGGAAAATGAAATGGGAAGAACGCAAATAAGTGTATTCTTGAGCATGATGCTCATATTATATATGAAAAACACTAAATGACACTTGGGTGTAAAAAATGGCTCATTATTCCTTTATTTTTTCATTTATATTGTAAACAATCTTAGATAAAGAGATTTCATAAATCGATTAATAAAAGAAAAAATTATTAATTATTCAATTCGTTACGCTATGAATCAATTTGATTATATTTCACGACAACTTATGATTGTTGCTGGTATTATTATGATTATATTTGGTTTAACTGGAAATATTTTAAATATTTTTGTTTTTACTAATTGGTCTCGATCTCGAACAACAACAAACAGACAACTTAAAAGAATTCAAACAGGTAATAGTCCTTTGTATCTATTTATTTCATCAATATCTAATTGTATTGTTATTGCCTACTCATTAACCACTCGAATTTTATTTGATGGCTATCAATATCCAGTGACACAAAACAATATGCTTTTTTTATGTAAATTACGATATTATGCTTTACATACATTTGATACCATATCTTGGGCATGTCTTTGTATGGCAATGCTTGATCGATATTTAGTATCATCACGAGAAGTTCGTTTAAGACAATTAAGTAAAACAAGACAACAAACAAAATCAATTATTTTATTAATTATTTGTTTGATTGGATTACATAGTATACCTCTTGCTATTTATTTTGATGTTTCAAAATTTGGTCAATGTATAATTTATTCGACTAGTTATTTATATTATTATCGATATGTATTTCAAATATTTCTACATGGTATAATACCAATAATTATCTTTTCTTTTTTGGGTTTTTTAACATTTAAACAATTAAAAATGATTAGAGGTAGACAAAATGCTAATAAAAATATAAATGTTGATAAACAATTATCACGAATGTTTCTATTAATGTCTGTTACAATTGTATTATCAGCTACCCCGTATTCGGTTGAAAATATTTATTATTTAATATTTGCAAATAGTAGTCAACAACAAACATCATATGTTTTTTTCTTTCACATTATATCTTCAATTTTATTTTATACTAATGCAGTATGTAGTTTTTATGTGTATTATATATCAACACCAAATTTTCGTATTCAAGTACACAAAACAATTTTTTGTCAAAAAGATTTGAATAGATTTATGAATAATCGAGTCAATACAATAACTACGGCATAATTATTTTATTTATAAACTTTCAAAAATAAATATTTTTGGGTTGTTAAAAGGACTAAAGAATTTAATGATTTAGTTATAAATAATGAAAAAAAGTAAAAAGGATGTTAATGTGCATTTCAATTTTTTTGTATCCAGCTGCGAAAATGATATCTCATCATATAAAATATGAAGAGAATCATTTTCACATAGACGCTAGTTTTTTTTATTCATAACTGTAATAAATAAGAGATGTTTAATTTTGAATACTTTTAATTAGTAACGGAGACTCTCACACATTTATGAAACTCATAAAAGTTTCAGTTAAACACTAGAAGATACCAAAATTTTAAAAAAAGATCAGATATAAGGCGCTTTTAGTGCTTAGTATGTGTTTTACATAACTTTTTAGATTTGGAAATTCAAACAAAATTTGATTGCTCAAAGTTGTTGTTTAAAAAGTTAGACAATTATAATTAATTTTAGAAATTCGTAAAAACTTCTAGAAAGATATCACAGACAATCAACGATCTTTTCAAGTCGTAATAATTATTTTATTCTTGGTAAAAATAGAATTATTTTAGTCTAGGAATGTCACATTATCTTTACTGTACCGGTAGTGATGTATCCAGAGATTTTGGTTTGGAAGCAATCTCACAGTTAAATTGCTTTGAAGAATGAGTAGCTGTGGGCAATTGTAATGACTTTCAAATAAATTCATTTGTCATAGATCTTCGAACCGTGAGCAATTGCACAATGCCCCATAACTGAATACGTCACTGCTATCGGTTGAAATAAAATTAAATGCTATACTTTTATTTATTCGTTTCAAAATAGAATAAAAATAGAGGTGTCATTCTTAGCATCTTAGTTGCGAAAGCATAAATGATCAAATAAAATGTGATTATCTTTCAAATGTGATTGAGATTTCATTTTCATACAGTTATTTATAATATAAACGAATTAAAAGTTTATAGAAAAGAGTAACTATAATCATTAAGAATTTAAAAGAGGCTTTTCTTTCATGCAAAAGAATTTCTAAACAATGTATCTCCATATTACTTCCGATGAAATATATCTGCATTTATGATATATAAATATACAAATAAATTGAAATAATATAGTAGAAAAACTTTATAGAGATTTTACTATCTTCGATAAAATTTGAGAGAAATTATAACATCAATCAGACTTCATATCTTTATGAAATATTTTGATATTGATTTCATTATATGTATATGTATTGTTTATTCGTGTGATATAAACCAAAAGTTTTTCGAAAAACTATAAAACATCTTTGGATGCAGAAGATATTTTTATTTCAAAGATGTTCGATTCATTAAGAGTTGACAAAAACAAACATGCAGTCTAATATTAATAATTTCTTGGAATATACTTGATATAATAAGAATAGAAAACGACTATAAGTTACATAGATGAAATTGAAACACGTTCTTTTTAAGTAAACATGTTAGACAACATGAGATACATAAATAATTTTCTTATATGTATTCTATCTCTGAAGGTATTCTACTTTAATCTTTGTCAGGAATCAAATTCTTATCGGACTGAAAATAATTACTATATTCTACTCTATTAAAATGAACTTTGTTGAAAGGAATTCTTTGATCTTATATAGGGTCAGAGTCTTTTATTAGACTCCAAGAAAATAGTTCTTTTTCTATATGAAATTATTTATTTGATAAAATAAAAATAGATATTGATAAGAAGGTTGAATTAATATTTCACCTGAACAAACGCTCTTCTTTTATTTTATTGTATGTTGATAATTAACAAAAACTTAGTGACTCTTCATATCTCGATCAGATATAATAAATGACTCTATATGAATAGAGAGAGAAAATACAACAATTTTCTTTTCTTAGTCATGGCTTGATCGTGATACAGAAAATGAATCAAACTTCAAGCTAGTTATTACTATTATGACCTTGTTTTCCGTATAGCTACCGAAGAATGACTAAGAAAAGAAAAAAAAACAAGAAAACAATTGAGCTTATACATAGAAACACTAGTCTGAAATTTAATATCGGAAATAGTATTTCATCGAGATATGCACCTTTAGTAACATTTTATTATTAATTATGAATATTAAATAAAATCAACGAAGAGTAGTTATTCATGTCAAATCGACCTTTCTTAAAACGTTGTTGTTGCATAAGCATACGCGATGTTCATTTAAGCTAGAACTATGGTTTCTTTTTTTTTTGCTTTTTAATAAGAATAGGACGAATAGACAATAACAATAATTGAAGTACGAAACAACACCTAGTACTCTTCGTGTGTAGTACTATTGTTTAAAAAAAGAAATTGTTTCTAAACAGTTACTCAAATACACATAAACTAAACAAGTCTCACGGTCTACTTGAATTGAATCCAACAGAAATAATTTGGGATTGAAAGGGTTAACATAAGTCAATTCTAAACCATTCTCTAGTTCAGAATACATCATTGAATACACAGATCAATGATTTCATCGCCCGGTATGTAAATTCCTGAATGGAAACAGTCCATGTTTCTCGATCTGAGTAGTTAACACTAAGACAACTGATAGAAAAATNAATGAATAGGCCATTTTGTAGAGAATCAAATTCTGCGTCGAATGGTATATTACTCTGCATCTTTGTTTTAAATTTCTTGGTTAGAAAATTGAAAATACGATTTTTGAAAACTTTAAAACCCAGTTTTCGATGCCAAAATCCAATTGGTTTTAAGAAAAAAGTCCAAATTCATAATCAGCGTAAAAAACTGTACCAGAAAATACGCTTAGATGTGTCCATATCGAAAAAAAAAAACTTTTTAAACTTGGGCAGCGAAGTAGCGCGTTACGTGGACAAGCCGAATAATTTAAACTACTATGGCTATATTTATATTTCATCTAACGATATTTGAATGAGAATATCTGATTATAATAACTATGAAATTTATATCATCAAATCGAAACATGATTTGAACTGATTTTTCAAGTTATTTAGCTTCATTGATATTAGTCCATGATAAGATATATAGGTTCGATATAATTAGATTGATATTCATTTACTATGAATGTATGTAACATAAGAAATCTGATTATTATTAAATCCTCATTGTTTTTGTATGCTTTGATTGTGTTTTTCGTTCTGTTATAATATCTATTTTCCTAATAAACAATAATTTATTGTTCTGATCTCGCATATCATTATCTTATAAAAATAAATTATGAATTTTTTCAAATAAAATGTTAATCAAAAAATATTTTATAATTTTAGTCAAGATATAAATCGATTTGATCAACGAGAAGTAACAGCAAAAATTCCATTAAGTGAAATACCATTTGTGATGAGAGCATTAGGTTATTATCCAACTGAACAAGAAGTAAGTGTTAATGAACTTTTCTTTCTTTTTTTTATTTCATTGAAAATTAAAAATATTTTATATTAGATTGAAGATATGCTCAATGAAGTTAAATTTAGTACTTACGTTGATACAAAAACTTATGTAGAAAATATTGATCTGAATGATTTTATTAAATGTAAAATAAAAATTGCTTATTAATTTCTTAATATTCTAATAAATATTCCTTTTTCTTTTAAAGTATATATAAATCATCGACCAGCATTTGGTCTTAATCCAGCTGATCTTAATCATGCGTTTAATGTTCTATGTAATCAATATGATCCTGAAGATGGTCAACCACAAATGAATCGTGAAAATCTTTTATATCTTTTACAACAATATGGTGAACATATGAGTGATTATGAAATGGCTGATTGTTTAGCAAATTTACTTCATTTGAATAATGAATCAACAGAAATGTTTGATACAATGAATGCTGAAGATGCTTGTATGTTAATTTGATTGATTTTTTATTTTTATTTTCTTTTTCTTTTTCAAAATATATATATTTTCTTTTTTCATTTTGAATTAGCTCAATTTATTGAAAATCAATTACCGGAACAAGTAACATTACAAACATTTATGGAAGATTTATTAAAAATGCCATCACAATATGTTGATCAAGTTATGTATTCTATTAAAACACAACAAAAACAGCGATCATCATTAATAGCACCAAAAGAGAAAAAGAGTCAAGTTTCGGTTGAACAACAAAATCAACAACGTCAGCAACAACAACCACAACAACAACGTCTTCGTTCAGCTATGACATCAACAACACGAAGTACAACATCAGCTTCGAATGATTCTTAAATACTTCAGAATTTTTTGAATATTTTATAGAAAATAAAATAATGAAATGAATATTTTGAATTTTTAGTTTTGTTTTTACTCTTATAAGATTAAATTGTTGAGTCAAAAAATCTTTATTTTATCCATTTGAAAGAATATGATCAAATCGTATTTATTTCCATGTCATTAAAATTTTGATTATTCAAATAATATTTTCAATGATCCGATCTGATTGTAGTATTTCGATCTACGACTATGACTATGCATTAATGTGTATTTGACACAACACCAATAATCTTTCCTGGTTGTGTATATAAATTTGTGTTCTCTACGTAAACGATACAATTGATAGTCTGTGTAAGCCGACTAAAGCGTAATTCTATCGATGTTAGTTTTTTTTTCGACCAAAATCATCAGTGTATACTACTGTTGTTTACCATCGTGTTCATACATGTTTCTAGTGAATGAAGAAAGAGATGATTTCTTCCTCCTCATCCGCAGTAAATAGTACAAAAGAATATTTTTTTTTATATAATACTACTTACTATTGAAATTTGTTAGGAAATCGGCGCTTAATCATCAAAAGTAACACGATTCTGATGACATGAATGGTCAGTTAAATCTATTAGCTGTNTTAGGCTTTTAAAATCCGAAAAATTCCTTCTCAAAGCATCGAAATCGCTTTGGCTTTTTGAGCAATCTTTTTAGATGAAATCTGTAAAAACAAAAGAGACATAACACAAGGCTCTCTGGAAAAGTTTTGCGATTAGACACAATATAAAACCTCGGATCTCCTGGTGTGTAGAGGCGAAAGGTAATATAACAGATAAACGAAAAAGATTAGGTATGAAAAAAATTGATGAATTTGTTTTTGAGAAAATCTCTTAAAGTTCTTGAAAGTTTATTTGAGTAAAGCCTGAATAGAATTGAGCGAAATCGGAACAAGTGAAGAAATGATCAATCGTCGAATAAGTCATCTGACAAAAGTCAAAAAAGTCAAAAATATATGAAAATGGCAATTCTTGTTCAAGGAGATAATAATATTTTTTAATGGTAAATTTTTTTCTAAAGTATTTCTATGCGACCTGTTTAAAATATATTAATACTGAGTATATTTTTTCTAGTATCGCGATTGTATTGATTCTATTCCTTCGTTTTGAGTTAGCATAATTAGAAAGGGATATTGATACATATTAAAGAATACTAAATATAATATTGAATTCTCTAATAAAGTTTGAAAATGACTGCTTTATAGTTACATTGAAAATTTATCGTGACTGGTCGTGATCAGGTTTTGGTCACGATCATGACTTTTTTTCGAAAAATGGTCACGATCGTGACCGTGACCGTGACTCACGGCAGTCACAGCGGTCACGCCGATATCTAGTATAGACAGATGTGACATAGAAATCATCCGTTTCTATAAATTACTTCAATTTTTTTTATCACATTACACTTAATCGTTAAGAATAAGATGTTTCAAAAAACAATCATGAAGAAAATATTTAACATACCAACCAGAGAACATTTTTTAACTAATCAATCACTTTTGAATTTGAACTCTATGCATGAGATAGACATCAGTGAAATATAAACAATGTCAAAAGGATAGGTTCTCTTAGACTTTCTGTGCAAAGTTATAGATATTCTACTAGAATTTTAGTTTCTGCCTTTATATATATCAAATAATCAAATTATTGTATTTCGACCTGAAGTTTTGTACATAGATGGGTATATTTGTCAGTAGAATGTCCTGGAAATTTCAACTCAAAAAATATTTCCTTCCCGATATATTAGAGTCATGAAAAACAGAAAATTCTAGCATCTATCGTATAATATGAGTGATTTTTACGACTTTAGCGCATCAGGAAGGAAATATTCTCTTGAGCTAAAATTTTCAGGGCGATCTACCGACAAATAGATCTGTCGATGGAGAAAATCTCAGATTGAAATATTTTCATTCGATTTTTTGGTATATATATCAAGGCAAAAGCTTATATTTCAGTAGAATGTCAATACTCTAAATAGAAGGTCAAAGAAGACTTATCCTTTAGAGATTTTTTTTTAGGTCTCACTGATGTCTATTTTATGCATAGAGTACGAATTGAAAACTGGTTGATCAATTGAAAAGATTTCCTTGCAAATCGTTCTTATAAATACTTTTTGAAAGAGAAAAGTTTTATTTGAAAACAATAAGATTAGACCTATGCATTGTTTTGTTGCTAATCGATCGGTTTTTCATATAATTTTGCAAGACAAACTTAATAGTAGTTCTATTTTTCGTTTTCTATGTCAATAGGTCTAATAATACTTTTTTTGATTGAAGCAAAAAATTTGAAAAATTGTTCTTGTTGATCTGTAGTGCAGCGACGTAATAGATAAATACTTCGTTAGTTTTTTATCTTATTGTTCTTATGAAAATTCATTTGAATTTTATTCAAGTAAATAAGAAACAAAATCAACTGAATTGAACATTTAGGAAATAACACAATCAGCCTCCTCTGTATCAAGTTGAAGTATAAAATCTTCATTTCCATTTGACATATTTTGAAGACATCGATTATCTTCCTTTGATAAACTACAATTAGATATATCAAATCGTGTTAATGATTGATTATGTTGAAATATATCAATAAAATATGGTACACTTAAACTTGTTATTAATTTGTTTCTTTTAAGACATAATTCTTGAAGAGTTTTATTATGATGAACAAGTGTATTAGCTAAAAAATGAACACCTTCATCACTTATACGATTACAATCTAACCAAAGTACAGTTAATGTTTTATTCGTTTTAAGCATTTCAGCTAATAGTTTCGCACCTTCATTTGATATTCTATTTGAACCAAGATGAAGTTTTTGAAGAACTGAATGATTATCAGATAAAAGTTTAACAAATGGATAAAGACCTTTATCACAAAGACGATTTGAATTAAGATTTAATCCAATTAATGTATTATTGTTATATAATGTATTAACTAAAATAGTTATACCATCGAAAGTAATATAATTTTTATCTAATCTAAGAATAGTACATTGTTTTTTAATAATAGCATGTTGAATAATAAGTGAAATATCTAGATCATCAAGATTTTCATTAATTAATTCAATTGATGAATGTTTTGAATATTGTTCGATTTTATTTTGAAGTTTTAATGAACGATCAATATATTTTTGTACCGTTTCAATTCTTGATTTTGATTGAATATTTCTATTTGATAGATTTAAAAGAAGACTTGCAGATAGAATTTCTTGTTCATTTAATAGATTAGAAAATTGTAAAAGAGGTTCATTAGATTGAATTTCTTTTAAATAAAGAATATTTTGATTATCAGTTTTTTTAACTGATGACATAACTTTAAATTCTGATGCAGCCATTAAAAGTATTTGATCTTCATTTGAAAAATATGAATGTTTTCGAATATCTTTTCCTGAATGACATTCAATAGTGAATATTGTATGTGTATTTGTTTTGTTTAAATATTCATTTGATTGATATATGTCAAGAGATAATGTACATAATGAAAAAGCCCACCATATAAATGTATTTCCTATTGGATATCGTTCAGTTAAACCTATTTGAACTTGTCGATAGACAATAACAGATATTGATGGTAGACGAGAAAGTGCTCGAATAAATAATGTTAAATATAAAAGCCATGGTTTTAATTTTTCTCTATCATTCGAACGAAGTGTTGCATTAAGAGCATAATATAAACATTGTTCCATTGGTTGCCAATCCATTGAATAAAGCATTATTGAAGCAGATTCATCTTGTGTTAATCCATCAGCAGGATCTTCACATTTTTCTTTAGCTATTGAGACGAATGTTTGAAGATTTGGTAAAATAGACATTAATGGTTCAACCGCTGTTTCCAATGAAATACTTGACTTTTGATTATGAATATAAATAGGTATAAGAGGTGTCAATGGTTCTTGAAAAATATCATAACTACGTGCTTCCAGTCGTTTTACCATATCATCATTTATCGAAACCATTATTTTATAATTTACTAAAAAAAGAAAGTTTTGTTCAATAGTTTTCTCTTCAACATTCTATTTTTTACTCGCCTTATCAGAAAAGAATAAATTGTTTGATAAGTATGTTGCTTGTCGCTTATTCTTCACAAAAAAGAAAGAAAATTTTTTCTTCTTATCATCTATCTGTCAACGAAAGATATCGCACTCGATGAGAGAACATTGAAACGAAAAAGATGATGTATACATCTCTATAAAATATCATTTCTGCTTTATAATATTCCACAAGCTGACTACTACGAGATTCTCGATGAATATCTTCTATCGATTTCAACTATCTATTGAGAGAAACTTGAAGATATTATCTTAGTAGAAGAAATCTAAAATTGTTTTGATAATTATTATTTGATCTATCTTCTACACGGAGAAAACTATTTTAAGAATTTTTATGTTTCTAAACACAGGCTTTCTCAAATTCTTAAGTTTTTTTGTTGATGACAGGAGAAAAATTCAAGGTCAATTAATTCTATCATTGTTTTATTTTCGAACAAACTAGCTGTTTTTCGAGTGGTATTTGGTCAAATGGAAATAAATACAAAGTGGCATTTTAATAAATAATAATAATATATTTTCAGTAATGCTGTTCAATCTAACGTTAATGTGTACCAGAATATTTTATCATGATGTCTAGATTGTATTTTACTTGAGAAGGATTGAGATAACAATATTCTGACAACTGATTTTCATGGTAGCGTTGAAGGTTCTCCAAAAAGTTACACGTCAACATATCATATCTTGCTTTAAGTACTTTATCAATATTTTTACTGTTCATTTTATAGACTGTCTATACAGATGACTTGAATCGTGTAGAGCAACGCATTAGCTTTGAAATAAATGTAACAAATTAGATTAAGCTAGTAAAACAATCACTATGTTTAACCACTGATTTGAGGTACACTCCTAGTGTAATGAACAACATCAATATTTGACACCATCCATAAACACTCAGTACTCCAACAAGAAGCCGAAGTGGTACAATTCGGAACATATATGTTTTCATTGGAGAGTGATCATTCTTCATTTAAATCATCTATTCAGTTGTAGACTTGAACTGCGTCAAGTGATGTTCTTATATTGTAAGCACCTAGAACAAGATAACTAGTAATTGCTAGTGAGAAATGATAAGTACCATTACTAGGCCAAGTTACCTACTATATTTGATTAGCATTATTGCACTATGTACTATAAACTTGAACAATACTACTAGTATTACTATTGTCAACCGTTCCAAGACATTTGCCCAGCACTGATTGGGACGTTAGACGATAGGTAATATTAACCAGAACATGAGATAACTCTCATAGCATTGGCCAAAAAAAACTAGTTTTGATACTTATATCCCATCTTAGGGTAAAACTACTTCATAAGTATTCTTGCAAAAACTAGGAATTCATCTATAACAATCAGTAAAGTCTCAAGTGAGTTACAGTTCGACAATTAGAAGGAAGGTGAAAAACATATTGTAAGATGGTATGATATGCAACACCTTGCCTATGAAGATTTTTTGCATCAACACAACATTCACCATTTGTTGGACAAGACACATTAAATTTAATAACCGTAATACCCAATCTTTGATCAATAAATTCTTAAGTGATAATATAATTGATTGTTGTATATTAAAGAAAAATTTTGACGCTTGTTTTACATAGATTTTACACTCTGTTACTATTGATGATAATTTTAGTGTTATTAAACGATCTTTAATAAATATTTTAATTTCTTTTATCCATGTTTGAGTACTGTACGACAAAACTCATGATCTACCATTGTTTATTTGTTCTTCGATAAAATATGTAATGGCATATCTTTCTTAACGAAATAAATTTCAATGTTTTTTTCTCAAATCGCCTATCCTATCCCTCTCTTCTCAAAAGCTATCTCTTTTAAATGCATTCATCATCATCATCATGTTCATTAGGCTTAGCGCCCGTTGGGGCCAACCATTTACGGGATCAGATTTTTCCATGCCCGTCGATCTTGCGCAAGGTGGAACAGGTCATGTCCACTGCGTTGACACCATTCTGTTATGTCATCCAGCCATTCTCTGCATGGACGCCCCTTTCGAGATTTTCCGTCCATTTTACCAAATATTAGATGNTCGTTCATGGTTGGTTTCTGTCGTCTTGTTCGTTTTGCAGACGGCGGTATCTGCACCCCTTCCGTCAAACGCTCCTCCTTTATCCGGACTTGCGACCGGCACAAAGGCCGCTGGATTGCGGTCTCTATGGTGGAGTTTTTTAAATGCATTAGATAAATTAAACTGTTTACGATCAATTTCTATCAAGCAAGTCATGATTTCAATTTATGATTGACTTTAGTCGTTACATATTCTCTTTTTCCAGACAATTGAAGAGAAGAATACTAATAGAATTTTATTCTTCCAACATTTTTTGTGCCATGTTTATATGTACAAGCAAAACTGAATCGACTAAAATATAAAAATTCAACAAAAATCTGTCAACCAGTCGATGAATTCTAATTCTGAATCATTCACACGTTTATGGTTCGATCAAAATGTTAATTCAACAGAAGATAATTTCAAAACTCAGAAAGAGCTTAGTCAAGTAATCCATCATTTGCAAATATTTTATAATAACGATGAATGTGAACAATACATTCGACAAATTACAAAGGAAAAAGTTGTTCTCATTGTCTCAAATTCATTAGGTCAACATTTTGTACCTCAACTTCATGATCTTCTACAATTATCTGCGTGATATGTCTTTTGTGAAAATCAACAAGCAAATGAACTATGAGCTAATCAATATCACAGAGTTAAATATTTTATAAGGATCGTATTCTTTTTTTGCTTTTATTCACTTAAATACATCAGGTCAATGGTGTTTTTTTTTGAACGTACTAATCTTGTTGCTCAAATATGCAAAGATCAAATCGGTCGAAGTAAAATAGAAGATGGTTTTTCGATATCGATAATTAACTCTAATTCTCAGTTTCTTCAGGCTCGTAATGGTATGTTCATGTGGTTGCAATTGTCTATTGAAGTACTTCTTCGTATACATCATAAATCCAATGATCGCAAGGAGCTTTTGGACATTTGCAAGACTAGTAATAAAGATAATTAAAAAGAGATGAGCGTCATCGATGAATTTGAAAAAAATTAATAAAGTAGAAAATGCAATTTAGTGGTATACACGTGATTCATGTTTTTATCGAATGATGAATAAAGCATTACGTATACAAGATTTTGACATGTTATTTGCTCTTCCATTTTTTATTACTCATATTGCTAAACAAATCAAAAGTGATCATGAAAATTATTGAAGAATAACATTGGTGAGTATCTTTCAATAAATTGTTTTTTATTGACAAGTCGTTATCGATTAGCTGCTCTTCGTTTTGCTCAATTTACTCCAATAATTGGTGCTCTTCAAAGAATTATATTTGAAATTGAAATGGATCCACGTTTACACACGAAGGCCTTTGCTGACGTTACTCAACTGGCTTTTCTTCAAAATGAAAATGAAATATTAAGTATGCTTGATGCTTTGTTTCGAATAGAAAAAAATTATTGAAGATAAATATGAACAAATATGAGTAGCTTATATTTCACTAGCAAGTGAAGATGATTATTTTTTGTAAGAAACTCTTTCTTACATGAAAGATACAATTGGTGATGATGCTGATTTGGATTCTCTTTGAAAAATTCTTATAGAGATCGGTGAATACGAACAAGCACGAAAATGGTATAGAAGTATATTAGATTATACTCCGCTTGTTAGTGAAAACACAGCATTAGGTTTAGGCAAAGTCCGTAATCTATGCAAGAGAGCTGATGAAAGTCTCGAAAATCTTGAAGAAGCATTACATATAAGACAACGTCTTTTAGGACAAAATCATGCAGACATTGAAGTGTTATACTTGGATCAGAAGGCTACATTGGTACGTACGAGACGATTATGACCAAGCATTATCCAATCTAAAAAAAAAGCAGTCGAAATCCAAGAAGCACCACTTTCGCCTGATTGTCTTGCTCTCACTACTACTTATCGCAAAATTGGGACGACATATGATTTGATGAAACAATATGATCTAGGTCTTGAGTATTATAGTAAAGCTCTCAAGATTCGACAAGCTGTCTTATCTAGTAATCCTCCACAGATTGCTATAATCTACAATAATATTGGAGCATTATATGATTGTAAAAAAAGTTATTCGAAATCACTAGAATATTTCGAAAAATTGATCGAAATTAAACGCAAAATTTTACCACCTACTCATGAAGAACTTATTAGCACAGAAAAAAAAATATTTGTGTAATTAAAGACAAAATGAAAACATAGTTTTATTTGCTGCCACAATGAAAACACTCTATTCGACAATAAATTTGAAATAGGAATAGTATTAAGTTAATCTTTTTTTCTTATATAACTGTTCTGGAACTATTTTTTTAATACTTGTTCTCCTGTTTTTCTAAGAAATAAATAAATGTAATTTAATGATTACTTGCTAGAATATTCAACTACTTTACATCTGTTAACATATAGACAAGCTCTTCGTAATATCACAGTCAATAATATATCACTTAAAAAGGGCTGCTCTCGCGATAAACATATGACTATAGCACAAAAGAATGTATTTGAATATTGGGAAAGAAAGTTGAAAAACTTATAGTTAACATAATTTGTATAGGCTGTCAAGGAATGTTAGTTGTTTTGTTGTCAATAGAAGCTTGAATATGTTTATAGCCTATTCATTCGACGATTAATGTACTCTAACATGAATAGTCGTTCTTTATGAATACACTTTACGAGTAGTACCGATAACAGTCGTCTTTCTTGTTTTATTGCCCCACTTTTTGTTTCTTTTATAACTCTCACTTATGTTCTGTTCCTTCAACGAGTAAATTAATGCATTGTGAAAATATTCATCTGCTCCTCTTTTCTTTTCATGTCTTCTATCTTTAACCGACGAGCTTACAGTGTTATAATAAGTTTGAGTTGAAAGAAAGCAAACATATGCAGCATTTTCATCAGATACATATTTCTACAGAAATCATTGCTTTTTTTTCTACTTGTGAATTAAGAAGTTCCTTTGAATGAGTCTTAATCATTCTTTTTCAATCTTCAAAATTATATATGTGATAGATAGCGCTCATAGAAATAAACGAGACATACGTATATGTCTCAAAAATGTTGAATTTCATTCCACGAAACGTTCAGCTACATAAATAGAAATGAACATCAATTCATATATCTCTAAAACTAACAAGAGGCTATATATATATATATGTTTATGTCGCACATTCATCTTCGAATTATCTAATTTCATTGACACCTATACTCTGATCGTAATAATAATATTATGGATTGTTCATTTTTACTTTTTAGGAAGTTTGCAATAGTCACTTTTTCTTTTTTTTCCTTGCGAAAAACTTTTTCTGTCCATTTATTCATATCAATTATTTTATTATATTTAAACTATTCTAAAACACGTTTCTTAGTAACTTCTCTCTTAAAAATTGTAAAGATATCGGGGAAGATTTATTGTAGTCAATATTGCAAAAAATGAAGTTTAGTTGATGTACTCAAGTGGTCCATTTCGCTCTAGTAAAAGGTTGAGTATCTATCAATAGATGGATCATTTGTATGTTGACTGTACTGCGATTTTTGCAATACTAATTACGCTATATCCCTCCTGAAATCTTTAGAATTTTGAGCAAAAGAATTACTAATAAACATGCAATAGAATGATGTGAATATGATAAAATAATTTATATGAATCGATGAAAAAAGATTTTGGTAGAGAAAAACTACGTTTAAAGTCTAAATAAAACATGCAAATTAATAGAGAATTTGTTCAAACGCAAATTTTTGCATTTTTTTTCATAGTTAACTAAAGCTTAATTATCGAATCTTATCGCTGTTATTTCAATTCTGATATGTTCAATATTGAATATAGAGTTATATCAAGTCGTATAAAAATCATTCAAAGAAATACAAGTATGGCACTTGCAAATATTGACATACGTGATTTTATATGAAGTAAGAAAAAAGATCAGTTTCTTCTACGTGAAATACTATTCCGTTTTCTATTGATTCGAATAAAGAAACCCAATATGTTTTCGAGTATTTTTTTTTTCAGAACATATATTTAGCTTCGAAATGCTTTGTTATTTTTTAAATCTCAATTTATATAACCAACCCTTTTTTGTTTCAACACCATTCAATGCTCAGTAAAATTCAGTTCTATGTTTATTTACCTTTTTCTTTTCTGTGAGTTAAGAAGTGATGCTGTTCGTTGGCATTGATTTCTGCATCGAACAATTTATATTTGTTTAGTGAGCTTGAAATAATACTTCATCTATTCTGTTTTATATAAATACTTACAACCGGTCGTATATAAAATATTTTCGCGTTTGTTCTTTAGTTATTATAATGCCTCGAACATGTGCCATAGAAAAGTGTAAACGTAAATCACGTTCTATATGTCCATGCTGTAATAAAAATCTTTGTCATGATCATTTAAAAGAACATGATGATTTAAATAATCCTCAATTAAATCCTTTAATTAATCAATTGAATTCACTGGATGAACAACTCAAATCATCAAATACAGACAAATTAATTGGTGATTGTCGTCAAAAACTTATTCAATGGCGTGATAATTGTTATAAAATGATAAATCAATTGTATGAACAAAAAATTCATGAACTTGATCAACGTTGTTTACAAAAACTTGATGAACAACGAACACAATTTAATCTAATACGTTCAAAAATGACTGAACTTATACGTCAACAAGAAACCAATCAAGGACATATGGATTCAATAACATTAGCTATTCGTCATATTCATGATGAAATAAAAACTATTGAAAATACACGTTTACAACTTGATATTCGTCCATTAACAATAGATAATAGTTTTATTTTTATTGAAGAATTTGAACCGAATAAATGTAATTTAGTAAATCTTACAACACCTTATCGAGCAATTGATTGTTCAGGTGAATGGGGACCTGTACTTGTTAGTAATAATCAATATTTATTGATAGATCGACATCCAAATTTATGTTTAATTAATCAAAAACTTGAAATAATTAAACAATCTCCATGGAAATTTGATTTTATTCGTGATATGTGTTGGTCATCGACATTAAATTGTTTTATTGCAACGACAAGAAGTCGTGAAATTTATCTTCTTAATGAAAAAACATTAGCAATAGAACTTGTTCAAACTATTGAAGAACAAGATTGGTCATCTTGTACATGTTCTGATACATCTTTTTATTTAACTGCACGTCGAGAAGGAACCAATATTTTTGAATTTAATCTTTCATCTTCATTTGTTTTGATAAAACGATGGAAACCTCCACATTCATGTAAACATTATGAAGTTATACTTAATACTGCATATAAAAATAAAACACTTGCTTTAGTTATTTCACATTCTTCAACTAGTGCAGTCCATTTAGAACTTCGTTCATCAATAACACTTGATCGACTTTGGTCAGTTGAACTTAATATTTCACATACAATTGGTCAACCATTTATACGTTGTTCTTCATTGAAATGTGATGAATGGCTTGTTGTAGATAGCAATACTTCACAATTATTTCATGTGAAAAAAGATGGACAAATTAAAGCTGTATATCCTTGTAGTCCATCACCGTGGAATGCCGTTATGTTTGGTTCTAATCTATTAGCGATACGGACTAAAAACAGTGTAAATTTTCATAAATTATAATCGAAAGAAACTATTTCTTTTTTTTTTGTTTTTATCAAATACTCAATATGTAATGATAAAACGCGATTTTGTATTTTTGATCAATAAACATAAAATCGTTTTTCTTCTCTTTTGTCAAGTAAGAAATTAATGCGGTATGAAACACAGTATTTCTATAATCGGTTGCGTACCCATTCGGTCTCCATTCTCTGCGTGTTTTTCACTGTAAAAAAACCTGTACTTTGTGTCTCGATAATTTTCAGAATGACGATTTCCTAGGAACTCACTCGAACTTTGTCATGGAGATCGATGTCTCGAGATAATACAATTCTTTTTAATGTTCAATGGACATTTTCTTTCCACCTTCAGTAAGTTCCGTACTTTATTGTCGAAAATTGAGATTGCTTCGCACTGCATTCATGTAGTCCTTTTACAAGTTTGCTTGTCCTTTTACTTACTAGACATACGCATCGAAAAAGATCATGGATTCGTAGGCAATCTTTTTCAGTGGGAAATTCTTATATTTGACCATCAAAACAGATTATATCTTTTAATTTATTTAACCTTGTTATGCTATAAATAGCAGGATTAACAAAGCTTACTGCAATACAAGCAATAAAATGGATATGTATCTCACTAAAAACAGAAAGTATCCAATGAAACTTAACATAGTGGGTTATTCTGAACTTCATCCGTTATCTATAAAGACGTGACATGTAAAAATTTACTATGTATTCAGTGAGATATACACTTCAGCTGTTACTACTATCGGTTTCAAATTATAGTACGCGTGGTTGTTTTTTGAATAATTCCAGAATGGAAACAGCTGAAGACCTGCGGTTTTCACCATTCGACAGAGAAATGTTGGGCCCAGATTTCAATGCAAAAATTGAATTGGTTCATAATGGACCAATCAGATGAAATCCCAACGGACATTTTGTAAACAATATTTTGAACGCACTTCTGATATTGTTATGGATTCTGTCATGACCATTCGGTAGAAAAAATTTTTCTCTTTCGATCTAGACAAGGCCCAACTTTGTATCACATTTAGTTCAGGAGTTATAAGGGTTTTCTGAGACCTTCGATTTCGGTCAATTCAAGTAGAATCCTTCGGAAAGCGACCTTGGAAGGGGTACTTCACCACGCTGAGTCGGGCGGCTGTATTTATTTTTCGATCCAAAATACATTAACGCTATAATTTTAATATTCCGCAAATTATGACTCCAGCCGCTA